TTTGAATACATTTATATTATCAAGGATAAGAATCTTCTATTCATCACACACGGAAAGAACGGTTTTGCTGAAGTGTCTAAAAATTTAGCTAGATATACATATATAGATCTAAACATAATTTTGTTTGGACCGTCAAGATAATTATAAAACGCTTAAACTAGTCGCTAGAATATTAAAACTTTTTACAATATTGTTATCAATACTTAAGCATCTTACATAATTATTTTGACGAACCAATAAAATTATTTTCAGATCTGTATCTAGTTGAATTTTTAAATACTTTAATGAAACTGGTTTTTCTGTGCATGCCCTTACAAAAATCTAATACTAGCAAAAACTGAAAAACAATAATTAATTACTTATTTTCAATATTAAAAGCATTGTTGTTCTTTTAATACTAAACAATAGTGCTTTTAGTACTCTAAATAAGTAATTAATTTTTGTCTTTTAGTAATAAATTGATCAGTATTAGATTTTTATAAGAATATGATATATGATATTGCACAAAAATCAAGTCTCTATATTCATGTATATATATATAGTATATATTTTTTACAATTTAAAATAATTATTTATTTCAAAAGGAACTTGTTATTTCATTCAATTTTGGTGGTCAATTTTTCCTATTTTAAAAATTCTCTATTAATTTCTGGGAACATCTACCATATCTATCGATGCCACTCGGTATTGATGCTTTTTATAATGATGCCCGTCCCGCATTATATTATCCAGAGAATACTTGAATAGATAAAAGCACCTATACAACTTGTTTCATAACGAGTATTGAAACAAAAAAGGCTCAATTCGATGAAGAAGTCATACAGTACAGCTTCCTTCATCTCTCGTTGCGTAACTACCTAATAGGACTTACGTTTATTTTTCTATTCGAAGCAGCACCTGTCGAACAAATTGTTATAACTTTTTCATTCGTGTTACGCAAAAAATAGTTTACACATGTTTAAGTGGCCATCTTTCTTCGCAAGTTCCTTCGATTTTCTCTTGACTGCAAAAACGGTCGAAGAATGCGCGATTCTTGAAGAGCCCAAGCAGAACATAAAGTCATCGTGACATTAAAATGGCTTTAAAATGATTATTAAAAATCACTTTTCGATTCATTTTAACGTCAAAATAATGATCAGTTACGATTTAATTTAAAATTAAAGTTAATGTGACTTGTTCACGGAAAGGATGGTACGTTTTGCTAAAACATCTAAAAATATAGTTAGATACAGATCTGAAAATAATTTGGTTAGACTATCAAAATAATTATGTAGAACGATCAAGCTGAGTGTTAGACTTTTTGCAGTATTGCTCGTTATGCTTAACATTCCTATATAATTAATATTATTTTCAAAGCTGTATGTAGCTAAAGTTTTATGTAGATGCTTCAATAAAATCATTCCTTCTCCATGTTATTCTGTTTGGAAGGTATGTAAAAATGGGATTGCGTACGGGCCGATATCACGGCGATCGGTGCGAGCGAGATCACGCATAACTACGTTTCTCGTCCCTCTACGTGCCTACCACTTTCCATTCCGATCTCCCGCGTCGCCGCGCAGCACCGGTAAGGAGCGACGTCGTACGGGAAATTTCAAGCGGGCGCACCTGCGTGCACCTGTGTGCTCCGGCCTGATAGCCCGTCTAATTGGATAACGATATTGGGACTGGAGTACCGCTAACGGATGAGCGCGGTCCCCACCGATCGTATTGGGGTTATGCTCCGGTGTCTCGCCAATCTCGCGGCCGTTTAAAAAAGATGCGGAAGGACGAAGATGGTGAAGCATCTCGAGAATCCAGGTTTGGCGATTCGACGTCACCAGACACGTTGATACTCGTTTTGCGTTCCGATCGATCGACAATCGATGCCACGAAGGCCGCGTGGACCACTTCTCGAATACATACCGACTATGCAATGCAATGTAATATATTCGCGAGTTACTATTAAAAAAAAGAAATTTATTTACAATCTTCACTACTATTATAACTACGAACTTATACTGATTTAAAATTTATAATTATACTATGATTTTAAGTAACTGCTCGTAAAGAATTCGAAAAACTGTTGCTCTGCAGAGAATTCCTTTTTTAGAGAGATAAAAAAATATTTTGTCTTTTTAAATTTTTAAGACAAGACTGCTTATCGGCAAGTACTGGGATTCTTTTAAGGTCCCTATTCTTAATGACAGTGTTAGTGGTATCGTCACATTGTAGTTGCGCAGTTTTTATCATATATAAAATTTGAGCAACGATGTTATAATGATAGTAATATTGTCGTTAAAAGTTACAAAATACACGGAAAAAAAGATTATTGAAGTATCTAAAAATTTAGCTACATACAAAATCTGAAAATAATTTGTTGATTTATGAAAATAATTACATAAAGTCTCAAGCATGATGAGTTGACATCCTAACAATCAATTTGAATGTTCTATATAGTTATAATATTTTGTTGACCCAACAAAATTATTTTTACATCTGTGTGTATATCTAGTTAAATTTTTAAATATTTCAGCAAAATCGTTAGATACGTTAACAAAATCGTTCTTTCCATGTAGATTAAGAAAAAAATCTTTAACAGTCTATTCTCGGAAAAAATAATAAATTCGAAATTACATCAATGTCAAGCTTGTATTGACATGAGCTGACAGTTTCAAATACAAACTTTATAGGTAAAACTGTGTTTTATATATTTTATATTTTTATATTTTATATTTTAGAACTTTTTAATAAAGACTTTTTTTTATTCAAAAAGAACTTGTAAAGAATAATAATTGAAAAAGAAAGAAAATGTTAAAGAATACATACAAAACAATATTTTACAATAATTCACACTTTTTACCGCTGGAGTGTAAAAAACATTTCAAATAATTATTCTCAGATTTAAAAAATACATTTTTCAAATGGATAGATGATGATCATAGCAATTTTAAATGAAAGCCATTGAAAAATTCGTTCCTTTCTACCCAGAGAGAAAACGCTAAATGAATTGAAACATGCAATCGATCAGACCTGGAAAGGAAAAAGAAGCGAAGATCCGAAATATATTCGGATCGTTTTTTTTTTTTAGGAAACATGTTGACCCTGCGAAATTTTTTCGTCGATTTAGCGTAGTTGCCTAATGCCGAATGCGACGACCTGCAATTCGATTGAAATTCCGATCACGGAGGATCGATCGAGTCGAAGCCTGGTAAAATTTCATGGATAGCCGCGTGTGAATGCAATTCGCTGGCGCGATTCACCAGCAAGACGCTTGCATCTGAGACGCGGCTCTCCTGAGAATTATGTAACGCTGTCATTTTTATTTACGCGACGTGACGTTTCAAGGTAATTCGGGTTTGCGGAAATGATATAGTATATACAGTTTCCACATTCGCGTAAATATCTTCACGTCTCGTTGAAACGAGGGTGCAGCTTGTAAATGGAATGGCCGCATTCTCCTCATAAATTCTCTCAAATCACACATTTTAATATAATACAATAAATATAAACGGTAATAAAATAGTAGAGGCTTTAACTATAAAAAAATAAAAACAAATAAATAAAGAAAAATTATTATATTAAGACAATTAGAGTCAACGCGGATACCGAAATATTATTAAAATATTAAATTCATTTGCAGTAAATTACATAAGTAAAACGCAGATGTTTTGACCACAATTTGGATGCATATCGAATACAAAAATATATAAGATGGAAGAAAACATTAAGTTAAGATAATTAAATCTAATATAAAAATAAAATAGTGCAGGATTAAGTCATAGCAATAGAAAATAAATATAAATAGAACACGTTTATTTTCCTATGTTTATGCAGCGCGAGAAGCTTATTACGTATGTTGTGCTAATTATTTTTTATTATAGTATGATACGAAGTTACGAAAACCGGCTGATCCGTTTACCGTTCATTTATGATTCATTCGGGTCTAGTATTTCTGAGATATATTAAAATCAACTGTCGCGATGTTGTCGCTGCACCGGTTGCGCTATGTTATCTTACAACACCTGTTGTATTTAAAATTGCATATCGCGCAATAGAAATTCCTTCGGAACATAGTCGTATGTTGTAAGATTATATATTTATTGACGTTTAATTCATATCACTTGATTTAGACCACCGATTCCTATCTTTGTAACTTCGCTTTCCATATTTTAAAAAACTTAGCACATTTCATTCAATTTTCGTCTTTTGAATTTGTTTCCAGTTGGCTATGTTCAGCAGAATAAAACTTTACATCTGTTGTAAAATTCTTTAATGTAATTGATTTATATATTTAGATCCAATGAAGAATTAAGAACAAGATCCAATTATATTAAAGAATCTTATAACATTTGCAAAGCTGCTTTTTCTGTTAAACGCAGCCATTGTCATCAACGCTTAAGCGTTCCACATAATTATTTTGATGGACCAAAGAAATTATTTTCAAATCTGTCAAAATAGCTAAATTTTTAGGTACTTCAGTAAAATTATTCTTTCTGTATAATTTGCATTCCCGCATTGCACTTAGAGCATTAATTCTTTCAATCCATACGGTCTGTTATTGCATCAAGCGCGTGATTGAAAAATTCAGACTCCGAACGGGAGATTCCAGTTTTGGCTTACCGAACGCCGTACGACCGCTCTTCTGCGCAGCACAGATATCGAATTTACTACGGCACGTAGTAAAGGTCCGGAGTGCCTCTCCGTCTACTCCCCAGCGTAATTCATCTCACAATTCTTCGTATCGAGCTTGCTCGCTCGTTCGAGAGGAAGGCAAGTATTCGGGCGAGCGAGCGAGCGAGCTCTAGCTGGCGCAGCGGAGAGCAGAGGGGCCAAGAGGTAAGGCAGTCAGGTAAGAAAGCGGGCGAGCGAGTCCTCGGCTTCGCAGAGGTGGGAGGCAAAAGTGGTAGTGGAGGCGAGTGCAAAGTGAGTTTTCGCTCGCGGCGTTCGCTCGCCCGGACGCCCGCTCGCTCGCTCGCTCGCGTAGCAGAAGCGAGTCACCGTCAGTCGTCTACGCGGTTCCGCGGTGTCGCGGTGGCCGATGGTATCATCTCGCGAATAAGTGGTCCTGCCTGTCTCGATCCTCGCGATTTCTCGCCTCCCGCGGACGCTCGAACATCCGGTCGGCCGCTACCAAAATGGCCGCGCGCTGAGAAAACTCCCCCGGGTTTCCTAGTGCGATCTGAACCCTTTTCAGGCGGTGCTTGTTCCCAGGGTTTATTCTTTCTTGACGATGACGTCGACACAGAAACGCCTTGGATAGGATCCTCCAATCGCGCAGATAGAAAGGAAGATAAAAGGAAGAAACGGAGAACGAAGAGAAATCGAAAGTCAGAGCCAGGTAACTTGAGCTTAAGCTTATCTAAAGTCTTCGACACTTCGGACGCTTCTAAAGTTACGTACTGCCGATGAATAACCATGAAGATCGGTACTGAATGAAAATACGTACGGCGTGTGATAACATCGACCCGACGAGGTCGACGTCATCCGCATGGTGGCTGGTTACGTTCTCCATGAGAAATAAACTGACGTTAATTAACCGTTGAATATGACGTAACCGTAGAAGTTGAGTATCGCTCCCGTGATTCTTTAGCAAGAAATCTTCGCAAATCCCTTGCCTTTTGTTGCTAAAGTTTAAGGGTAGAAACTACTCCGCGAGTTTACGTTATCCCTCTAATATTACGTCGAGAAGACTTACTTGAAGATGTTAAAATTGAAGCTCGGATAATATATAAAATAATATAAAGAATATATTTTATACATAAAAAATGTGTATTTTATATACATATAAATTCTATTTGGAATCAAATTTATATTTATATATTTAGAAGAAATGAAAGTTTATGAAAAAATTATAGACGCATTTAAAATTAATAAATGCGCTGATCCTTGAACAGTTTGTATTGTATAAATATGAGAACGTGTCTATTGTTCATAAATAATTATATATCAGATGAGAAAACGTGCTGTTAAACTAAGGAGAAAATTGAGCCGTCCGCCTCATAAGTCCTCGTAATATTTATCTACTTATGTAAAATTGTCGATTACAGTGTACAGCTTAATTTATTAATTATGTGTAGAAAGAACGGTTTTGCTCAAATATCTAAAAATTTAATTAAATATACATTTGAAAATAATTTTGTTTAGACCATTAAAATAATTATGTAGGACGCTTAAATTATACATATTGTTAGAATGTCAAAACTTTTTCTAGCAGAGTCATCAACGTTCAAGCATAAATAATTATTTTACTCAACAAATTTATTCAACAAAATTACTTTCAGATCTGTATCTAGCTAAATTTTTAGATAATTTAGGAAAATCGTTTTTCCCGTACCGAAAGTAATCATGATAGTACCGTATATGAAACCGATCAGATGGGTTGCACTTTAATTCCCGTTTTTTCCTCGCCAAGGAACTCCGCGCCGGATTTACGCCGGACGTCACGTAGAAACGTTATCGTTTCTATTCAGCTCCGGTGTCGTAACGCCAACGGATTTGTTTATTTCGAGGGAAAACGGGACGCCGTGCCGTGCCATGCCGCGCCGCCAACGAGCACGGGATGTTAATGAGTTCGACGACGCTCACTATGGAATGCCAGAGCTCGCTTTTCATAATACATACATCGCCTCTGCAGCGGCGTTCTCCATAAACGTCTCGCGGCCCCCGCCCGACCTCGCGCTGCATACACCTCCCCCCTCGCGATACGCGAGATAACATCGCGACCACCGGCCGGTCCAGAGGTATGTAGGTAGGAGAAGCAAGACCGCGGAGTGCAAACGAGCACGATCGGTAGGAACGCCCGATCGGCCAAGGCCGCTCGAATAACGTCCTCGTATGATTCGACATCGAGTCGGTAATTGGCGCGGCGTCGCAAAGTCTGTTAGAATTCACTATCGCTATTTTTTTCTTTTTTCTTCAAAACAGTACTTTCTCCGGATTTCAGTTTATATAAAAACAAATAAATACAGTAAAGAGGATTATTAAATACACTCTAATTGCGTTTTTCACTGGCAGAACTGGTGCGCACTCAGTGCACTTTAAAGCTGTTGTATACTAATCTAATCTGAATGTAAAAGTGAGATACCTCAATTAATAAAATACATAATGTATATTTTATCAAATAGCACGATAAAATGTATTGAGGATTTCGCGATTTAATTCGTTTCTATATTTTTATTCAACGTATATCTTTACGTCGATTTGTGTACAACGGCTTTAAAGTGCATTGAGTGCGCACCAGCTCTATCAGTGAAAAATGCTATAAGAAATATAACTGTAAAATATATGAGTGTGGATTTAATATGATGCGGTGTTTATATAATTCTCACCATGTTGGTTAATATTATCATAATGTGGATTTTTTAAAATCTTTAATATTTATATCAATATCATCATGATATGGATTTAAAACCCATAGTGAAAATTCACACCATATTGGTGGTTTATATCAATGTATAGAATCCACATTTTTTAGAACGTAATTATTAAATAATTATTAGATAATGTTGTAGACAAATTTAAAAAGTTCATAATATTGCTAATTTTATACACGAAAGATGTAATCGTGAACGAAGAGATTTATTAATTTAGCATAAGACTCTTTGACTATTAATTTCTATACTTTCCCGGAAGAAACTCGTTAGAACTCATGCGAAAAAGTCCCAAGGACGAACTAAGTATCGCGTATCCAGTGTCATTTATCTACGAAGTAGACAAATTTGCGATGGTACCGATGATTAGAACGAAGAGCAGTCGCTACTTCCGGCGTCGCATCGACTTCCGTCAGAGTGAGTCCTCACGAATTTCTCAGCACCGGCGCTGAATGCGTCAATGGAAACGGGAAATCAACGAGATCAACGGCATCGCGTTTGCTGGAATGCCAGGTAGCTTTCCAGGACGTAACGAAGGAGAACCGTTCCACGTACGTTGCGGTCTTAATCTCCTACTTCTTCTTCTCGCTCCCGAGCTATCTCCTGGCGCCGCTCGCCCGCTCGTTTACACCGTTTCTCGTGCATGTGGACCGATGTATCAATGAGAACGATCGGTAGCTTCTTCCCATGGTTGGAAGTCACCTTCGAGATGAACAGCGACGGATCAGTCTCAATTTGTGATTAATGTACCATATATATGGTACACATATATTAGTTAACTTATGTTTAATACTGCCGTAAATAATTAATTTAAAAATACACGATTTGTTTCTCTTTTGTTCTGAATAATTTTATATAATAATTATTTTACTTATATTGTATTAACTTTTCTTCTGAAAGTATTATATATTTTTATTTGTTTCGTGATTTTTCTTTTAGTCGATCGAATTCCCAGAAAACTGATTCAACGAGATGAAGATTGTTATGTGGAGAAGTTATGTGGAGGTCAAATATTGAATCACTAGTCGAGACCCATCAAAATGAATCGAGTCCTTGAGACTTTGAGTCTTTCATCCTTTTTTTGTAATATCTATACTTATATAACTACATATCTAGAAAGAATTTTTGGTGACCTAATCTAATTTGTACATTAGTCAAATACGTTGCGAAATGTTTTTGTGCATTAGTTTTAAATTATTCGAAATTATTTTCCACTCAGACAGGAATTATAGAGTTCCTAAATCAACTTTTAATATCTTATATTCTTTCTTGTAATATAAAATCGGGTGCTGAAAGAAAATCAATTTTTCATTGTCTCTATCGATTAGCCTTGTCGTAACTTCGGGGTAATGGATCTTCATACAGATCTCGACAATAAATAATGACTTGCATTAATAAAAGCGCATGGCACAAGATACAGCCGAGCAAGAGGAACGGCAGCCATGTTTTATCTTCGTGCTTTCTCCCTGTAGAGCTTATCCTCTCATCGGTACTTCGTCCATTAATTATCTTCCTCGTACGCATCTACCTCGCCGCTTCGCGTTGACAGCTCCTGTCGAATGACCCGTTCATTTTCTGGCACGCGAAATCGGTAATAAGTCGAGTTCTTGCGTGCTGTCGTTCCGCTCTGGACGATTCCATAATAGCTGTTATTTTTATGTGCTTGCTTCTCGCGAGCAAAGTCATCGGAGGGAATGAACTTCATCGGAATGTTCTGGTATCCGTGCTCGCTTTCCGTAGCGAAGGAGGGAACTGCCCTAGCTGTCTATGCGAAGAATTCTCAAACTCTCCGGCCTCGAGCTTCTCTCTGACGTGTTTTAAATTTTTGTTCTTCTCCTGCGATTTTAATAAGAAGCCTAACCTAAAGTTCGATTATAATCACTTAGTTTTTATGTTGATAATTTTCTTCCTGGTAATTAAATATCCATAAAAAACATTTTAGATTAATTTTCTTTTAATTATACTGATTGTGAAAGAAAAGTGTTCAGTAATGGTGAGACTGTAATTGCATGCTAAAATAATTATGGTTATAAGCTCTATTTTTCTAGTTACTGCTATAAAGTTAATAATAATAATTATATTTATAGCTCTGTAAAAAATATATAATTAGCTTAAAAAATGACTATAAATTTACTCTGCGTCTGCAATCACATTTTTATTCTCTCCGTTTGCAATCTGGGTTTTTTTGTCCAGCCCAAGTTTTTTTTATTGTTTTAGGCTTTCAAAAATGTGAAAAGATTTATGGTTACACTTTTTAACATATCTATTACATTACCAAATAGTTTTTTTAACTCAAATGTTTAATAAATATTGAAATTTCAGAAAAAATGAGGGTGAAATTTGAGAGTGAAAGAGAATCTATTTTGTGGCTCTCTCGAGTTGATGTTATACAATGGGACATTAATCTTAGAAAAATTTAAGTTGAGCATAATTTTGAAGATATCGAGAATTAATAAGGTCCAATTTATATTTGATCCCCGTATCTCCAAAACCCCTATGCTTAACTTAAATTTTTTCTGAAATTAATGTCCCATCATATAGCATCGTGTAGAATACAGTTTGATTCGAAATTTAGAGACACAAAATACATTAAAAAACAGATGTTTCACACCTTCGCTTGTATCGGAAAAGAGTCAAATTGCAGATAAAGCATTAAATTATATTAAAAAATAATCCGTATAACAAATAAAACTAATAAAGACTCCTTATAAATCAAAAGAAATTAGAAAGAATAAGGGCAATAGGAATCAGGTGCAGAAGACGTCGCGCAAATAATACACCCATAAAGCGTAAAACTTCTTTATTCTACTAAACGCGCTTACATGTTTCGGCTCACTTTTGAGCCTTCTTCAGAGACAACACAAACTAACATATGTAAACTGTGAATAAAAGTTATCTTGTCATGGTGAGCTCCTCTACATCGAGAATTTAAATGCCAGAAATTAAACCCAAATAAGAATGAAAGAAA